GTATAACTTATACGCGTTGTTAACGGCACAAAGACCGATGTTTGTCTTTGTCTTCCTTATTTTTTATTATTATTCATGAGTGACGCCATGCTTGCGGATGTCTGCCGTCATCAATTTTTTAGCAGAGGGATTTTGCCTTTTATCCTTCAAGTTTGGGCCTTTATGTATGGATAAGCTAAAAGCCCAAATACGGGACTCTGGACTTGCTCCACCTTTGGGCTGGTTGAGTATGTTCAAATACAAGTCAGCACTCTAGGCTTTCATCAGTCATGTCAATTGTACGCCTGCAGGCTGCAACACTGATGAGCGGTATGCAAAACAGATACGAGCCGAATAACCCGCCCGATTAATTAGATTCGCAGTACTGCTGTCTAAGTTTACTAAATGTTAATGACTCGTAACTGGTCAGTGCCGCAACCCGATTAACCCGTAACCTAACTGATTTGCAACCTAATTAATTCACAACCTGATTAAACCTGTAATCCAATTGACCTGCGACCCGACTAACTCATTACCTGATCAACCTGAACCCGAACCCCTCTGATTGGCCTGAATAGTTAAAGAAAAATTTAAGAAATATAAAATTAGCATAATGTCAATATTTATAGTGAATAATTAACAATTGAGACAATTTATAACATTAATATAGTATATAAATTAAAATCTGTGATTCGATTGACCCAGCCTGAGTAAGCTGGAACCTAAACTTTGCCCAAATTAATAAACGTGGTGTGAATAAGAAAAACTAAAAATCATAGTAATGAAAAGCAGGAATAAATTGAATCAACCTTAAGCAAAGGTAAAAAAAGGATGGGATTAGGTGCTAATCCTTATAGGGGTTAGCACCGTGATAACTAGCAAAAAATGCTACTAAAAACAACGAAATCACTACGGATTACTATAAAATTAATACAACATCTAAGCTAAATCACTACTAATTCAAACTAGTAGTAGTTTTTCCCTTGGTTAGTACGGTGCTAACTCTTGTACAATTAGCACCATAACTCCTCCCTAAAAAAAACCATTCAGATGATGCTTCCCCTTACTCCCTTAGGTTTGGTGGATTTCTGTGCTATTTGAATTGCCTGCCTATACGATGCAATTTTACCCTACCATACGTCTAATGTGGTTAGATGTAATAGGCTACGTTGGGCCCTATAGATTTCTCTTTTCAAGAACTGAGGTAGCCCAATCGATTGAGTTTGATTATAATGATATTGTCGTTTCCAATCTCATCCAATCACAAAATAAATTCGAACCTATCAACACGTGAGAAGATTGCTTCGATTAAATAAACAATCACATTGATATGAAAACATCGATCATTAATCTCATAATCAATTCCATCCATCATCCCTAGGGTCCTAGTTAATCTGAACAGATCTTTAAGTTTAGCTATCCATGCATACTAAAGAAAAAGAAAATGCTATAGCGAAAGACATCACCATGGTAATCCCATTCTTGATAGCTCAAATAACGTCAAATGGGAAGTAAAAATATGTATGGTTTACGTGTCATCAACATGTATATATGAGACTAAATTAGGATTAGCTTGAAAAAAGTTGACTATGAGCCTATAAGTTAGAGTAGTTCATTCTTGATATTAGACTGGTTGCAGGTTGATTTTTTTGCCCAGTATGAGTAAATGAATTTGCTTTAGTACCATAGACTTTGGGTGAACTTGCTTTAGTTATCCTTTGGGATCAAGGTATGCAAATCATTAGAAAACATCTTTCCCCTCTAATTTTTACCCCAACACCACAAATCCAAGTAAAAAGGTTGTGAAACAATGCACCTTTATAAATAATGAGGACCTAAGGAAACTTCATTAATTTGTTTCTTTTAATTAAACTAGCTTATTACCCAGCCCGTTGGCCGGATTACTGTATGTTACCCACTTGTGGAATGGGAGAGAAAGCAAGTGAGAGTGAAGGGATTGAGATTTCACTTGATTAGGACCTACCCACTAATCCGATTCTTCCCGCCCCGCCCCAACCTAAAGGGTCAGAAAGAGTCAATAAGAAAATACGAACGGAGAGGATTAGTCATATATCTTGACTCTTCAGAAGTGGGTCAAACATGATCAAGGTTGGGTGAGGGCAATTTTTAGCGCTAAGCAGAGTTCTGAGTTGAATAACTTTACTTAGGCCTAGAAATTGGTGCTGATGCAGACTGCAATTTTTATTATACCATCATCAATCATCATTGAATTAATCCTGGCATCCCTCCCTGTTGTCGGTCTGAATTCTAATGATGGCTTCATTCCTTGCACTAGCCATATCAGCGAGTTGTCATCTCGAGCATGATTTGCCTATGTACAAATGATACAATTAGAGTATGAAACTGAATTCAAAGAAAAGGAGAAGAGAATTCTATCACATGCCAATAAATACACACATAATAGTTGAAGCTAAGTGAAAGTCATTACTCGCACATCAATTCTCAAAAATTACAGACTAAACAATGGCTAGAATGACACTGAAACTACCAAGAATCATGGACGAAACAACTTGTCAAATTAAATAATCCTTACACTGAAACTACCTTCTAACTTGAAATAAGGCATGATCACAGTTCATAGCACTCTTATCACTATGAATTGGTTGCAGCTCGTCCTTATCACTGCCTCCCAAGCTCAATTCAAACAGAATAGAGATAGTTATGTAAGATAACCATATCCTTACTGATCATAATTACTTTCTTCACTCCATTTTTGTCGGAGAAAAGAGTTATCCCCCTCTCCTGCATTTCCCTTTCCCCCTCTCTTCTCCCTCTTCTTCACAAACCGATCCCTAAACCAGCAACAACAACACAAAAATAGCCTTCGCCTCTACCATCTCCATCTACTGAACGCGTTGGTGGCAAGACAGGACTGCAGAAGCAAAATTTTCTAAAATCAAACTAAATTTTTCGAATGAGACTCAACCACGAAAAAAGAGTAAAGCAACAATGCTAATAGTTCAGATGGTTGGTTTTGATGTTATACGTTGCTTTTGTTATGGTCTCCAGTATATCAACTGCAACAGAGATATTTCCTCCAATCATCTTTAGTGCACGATTTAGAAGTAAGTCCTCTTGTTTGTGTCAAACAGAAACATTCATGGGTTCTTAACTCCCCTGTTAGTGTAAATGCAGCAGCAGCAACAGCAAAGAAGTTTGACAACACAGCAAGCACCCAGGCAAAATGATACAATGTAGTAGGTGATATGTGTCTCGGAGGTTTTGAGTTACTAAAGTTCATGTTAAAAATAAACATGAATTAAAATGAATTATTCTATTAAGCAAACATCCCCTCTAATCATACAAAGATCAGATATCCAATTCACAAACAATTAAGCCATAAAAAATCATCACACATCCACCACCTTTGATTGCCTAAATTTGGTTTTTCGCAAAGTTAATGGACTCTTAAGGGTAACGTTCATGGGTAGTCTGTTTTATAACTCTAGAGAGCACAGTAAGCAGCCACCAGCCAGACATAGTGCGGTAGGCGAATATGATTCTCAATTCACAATTTCTCACCACCGGAAGTAAGAACAGACCATAATAAGCGTAGCGTTCATGGGTGGTCTGTTTCATAGCACTACTACACAATTTGTTAAAAAAGAAAGGTATTTAGCATCACGGAGGAATAACTTTTACAGGCCAACAACGACAACATGCTGCAACCATCAGAACTGGTATCACAACTCATAGGGAAAATCAAAAGATTTACTCTCAAATTAAGTATTTACAACATCGAGCAATCGTCAAGCACATACACCATCACAAAAGTCACGGAACCTGATTCACAAAGCATTCAAACATTTGAGGACATTTCTACAAAGGTACAACTTATATGTCTTTTTTCCAAGCCATTTCCATCAACATGCTAATAAATTTGCAATGCATAAAACAAACAGGCCAAAACTTGAAATTCAGCCTGTTTGACCGACCCACGCCAAATTCTAATTAGTCTTTACTTTTAAACTTTCTATTTGAAAATAAAAAATAGTGAAACTTATTCGGTAATAAAACCATAGAAATTCAAAAGGAACTGAAAATGTTTAGGATCGTTTTAATGTTTAAAATAACCAAATAGATCTTTATGTTTAGTTTTTTACTAACAAATACCAAACGATTCCCTATAAATACCCTCCCTATTCTACCCTTCCTACAAACGCTCCTGGAGCAAGAAATTTGAAATGGGGGAAGAGTTTTTTCCACCCTGCTATTATATGTTTTTAATTTAAAAAGGATACAACAAATGTACTTAGTGTGATTGGTTATGATCCTTGCATTTCTTTAAAATGGTTATGGTTCGAATCCCAGTACATATCTTTTTAATGAATAAAAAAAGTAATTGTGAAGACCAAAATTTCCTTCCTACTTTCACTCTCGTTGCAGGAAATTTGAAATAGGGCTCCCGTTTTTCCTTTCGGCATATTATAAGTATAGTAGATAGATATATAGATTTGGCAGTATTCGTAAAAAAATGCATTATCATCCCCATAAATATGAAGGTATTTCAAATCTGTTGATAACCTTCAAAATTAGATACATGTACTCATTTTATATATTCAAAGAATATTTTGAAATAAGTGGGAAAAAAACATAAAATTGTTACCATTTAAAAATCATTATAATTTTTATATATGGCGTCTCCAATGATGCTTTTAGTACATTCTGTAGTTCCATATTAGTTTATCGAACTTCCAATTATAAGTATGAACATCATCATGACTCTCATCTCTCCAACTCTATATACAAATACAAGTTTAGAGTCCCCCCCATCATTTCAAATTTCATGTTACACAAAGGAGAAACACACGAAATAAAAGGTTAAATCTTGATTCAAGAAAATGGCAAAATTTCCTCTTCTCCAAACTTTTTCCTTGGCATTGCTTCTGTCAGGTTGGTTATGGTTCTCTTTAAATGACATCGAGGGTTTATTTTAAATTAATTTCTTATTAATTTTTTTGTTCATGTTGTTTTCATTTGTGAATTTACTCATTTTATTCATGTTTTTTTTTTTTTTTTTACTTACAGCATTCCTACTTCCAGAAGTCAATGGACAAGTAAAGAGATGTGTGGAAACACTATACCCATCAGGATGCACATTAGCTGATTGCGGTCAAAAGTGTTATGAGAGACACCAGCAAATTAGTGGGCAATGTATTGGAAACGAATCCATGACTAATTATGCTTGTGTTTGCGTTTGGAGTTGTTGATCCATATTGCCTTATACCACAAAATCATGTTTTCACTAGCGGCCAATTCCTTGCAGTTTCAAATAACTTAATAGTTATTATTCAATGATAAACTCCGGTCATATATTTATTGGTTTTCATGCATTTGGTTTACTTAATTGCATACAAAAGAAGTATCCATTTGGGACGGGGGAAAACACTAACAATCAAACCAAACGTCTAGCCTGTCCAAAGAAAAGCAGAAGGCTTCTTTTCTTTTGGTCATCTCAACTTCAACTTCTCCTTCAATTCCTCCAAATCCAGGACCAACTTGTTGTACCCTCTCTTCAATTCTCCTTCTTGCTTTAGCTAACTCCCTCTCACGAGCCAAAAGTCGAAGAGTCAGTTGATGTTCTCGTCTAGTGGTGTTAAAAGCGTCGGATTGCTCCGGGTCATACACATCCCTTCACACACTTAAAGAACAACCACACATCTAGCACAAGCAAAATCCACACTTAACAAAACTGAAAATAAAAGCTAGATTAACACCAAACAATCTTTTCAAGATAATGGACCGAAGTTCCCCAACAACGATGCCAAAAACTTGACGCGCTCCGAATATCACAATAAAATCTCACCTAAGGCCCAGGTATAAACGTTAAATGGGTGAAATATAGGGCAAGTATGTTTAAATATCAACCCGAGCCAACCCATGTACCCCTACTTCAATTGTTTGAAACATTATCTAACAGAATGTTGTTCGTTTAAATCTCTATAATCTACTATTTAAAAGCAAGACTTGAAAAGTAAAAGGGTGGAAAACTCTTGGTGAGAAGCTTCACTCGGGAGTTGCTTCCCCCTAACTAACTATCATGAACTGTGGGATTGAATGAACCGATGTGTGACAAGGCAATTGTGACCCATAGGAGGTGCAACAATGGTTAGAAACCATCCTCTCAATTGCTAGGCCAAGGAAAGCATTATAGGCTACAATTGTAGCCCTCTTGGCCCAAGCAATTGAGGGTTGACTTACCTTCTCCCTCAAACCAAGGTTTGAACCAGAGATTCATAATTAACCTAACTGTCTAATTCGAGTTTAGAGGTTTTCCCTTCATTAACTTAGTTAGGAGGCATGGGATGCCTAAGAAAACCCAACTCAATTTTGAGTCTCTTAAGATAAGCGGGCTTCTCTCTAAGCTAGGTTAGAATAGAACAATATATTGCCAAGCACACACAATGCACAATCACCATACAAAATACCTCAATTCTTAAATTAAACACCACCATCACACAATCAATTACATGGTAAAATTTAGGGTTCTACAACACCCAAGTGAAAAGGGAAAGTACTCCATGCTAGACAAAGGAAGAAGAAAGAAACCATCATTGTGATGCCTCCAACTCTCCTTGTGCTTGTAGAGATCCTCTCTTGAAGAGGAACTTCCAAAATCTTCACTTGGAGCAAACCCTAGCCTCTTCTCCCTCTTGGTTCGTGCTTTCTCTCTCTAGGGTTTCAAGAATAAGAATGTTTCTCTCACTTTGGGCTCTCCCTTCTTCTTCCTTACAACTCTCAATTTATACACAGATCGCGCCCAGTTCACGATTCCAGTTCACGGCCGTGAACATCAGGCCGGGACCGTGAACACAGATGAAAACGTGCTGCTTCACTTATGGAGTTCACGGTCCATGGCTCTAGTTCACGGTCTTACGACCGTGAACTGCCTCGGCGTCGATAACCTCTGAAACTCCTCAGGACGCTTTGTGGTTCTAGTTCACGGTCCTGGCGATCGTGAAATCCAATCTCCGAACGTGAACTGCGGCTTGATCCTCCTCTTGGCCAGGTCTTTGCGCCTTTTCTTCCAACTTTCGACTCCGAGGTTGGTTTCACCTGTTAGACTCTGAAACACAAGAAACCTAGCGTAAAATCACCCTTTTAGGAGCTCAAATGCCACAAACGCCAAAGAGAAACGATGATAAAAAGTGTACAATTAGGCCCGGATCAAGAGTTTAGCTTAGCATCAATGGGAGGGGACGCAATCAAGGAGATTTCGTCATGTTTGATTATCGTAGCCTCCTTCTCTTATATGTATATCTAGTTCGAATTGATTGTGTAGGAATGTGAACTCGTTATAATTAATATGACTATTCGAATCCATGATTTCGTGTTATGCTTGTCTATGGTTACTTGAGTATTTCGATATTTATGCTTTGTCATAGATTATTATATTTTAATGTTTATGATTCTATTATATGATACTATTGCATTGTGTATAACATCATCTAGAATGTTAGGAAACTACTTTGTAGTGATATCATATTGCCATATGCGTGTATGGGAGGATTGATCACCCATCCATTACATGTATAGGATCAATGCTTTATTGCTTGGTCGCCAATGCTATAGACATTATGTTATGGCTCAAAACGCCCATACTTAAATAAGTGTACTTCTATGTTCACTATTAGTTAATTGATGACATGAAGCGAAAATACACATTAATTAGCTATTGTTCTTCTCGCATGTGGAAAAAGTTTAGTTAGGAATGCTTTAGTAGAAGGGATAGAGTGATAGAATAGATGAATCATTGAGATGCATGGTATGAATGAGAATTTAGATGCATGTAATATAGAGTGATATTTTCTAATCAATAAGGGTTTTTGTAGTGATCTCGCCAAGTCCCGCTAACTCCATCCCTCCCATTTGTATACTCGACCCCACATATTTTTTCCTCCGAAATTTACCTCCCATTCTATCTTCCTTCGGATTTAGCTCGAAAAAATCTAAAAATCTAAATTCAGCTCCCAAATTCTATGGGTTGGAAAAGGAAAAGGATAACCTTCCAAGTTAGTCTACTAATGAACTTATATAAAACTGAGTTGGTATATTAAATTGGTTTTAAAATTCATTATTCCATTTAAAATTTGATGTAAATTTGTGAAATTGTTTTCCTTTTCGGACAATGAGAATTCAAGGAAACCACAATTAGTATCATGTGATAGTTACATTTCTTAGACATTAACCAAATGCATGTACATCTTCAATTCTCCATAAAAGTAAAATCTATGGCGCATGTATCCGAGCCCCAATTCTTAATTTGTGGGGCACTGGTAAAACATTGAACTATCATCATATTTCAGTTACAATACTTGTTCATGGCTCCAACCTCAAATTTCTTAATTTCAGACTATCCTATTGTAGTTTTTATTTACATTCATGTACTTAGGTAAATTTCCATCTATATTGCCACTCTACCCAATATATATAGGGTATCCATCTTTTTGCCATACAGTATTTGTCCAAAAAGGAGAAACAAGTGAGAAAAAAAAAACAAAGAAAAAACTAGTCACCATAATTGAGAACATGGCCAAATTTTCTTTTGTCCAAACTCTTACCGTCACCATGGTTTTCTCAGCCCTGGTTCTCTCAGGTTAGTTTAATCTTTACCATAACATTTTTTTTTCTTCTTCTTATTAGCATATAAGTGATTCAAGAACACAAGTTTATTATTAGTTTCTTTTAACCCATTTAGTTTAACACATATCACTATTGTTTTACTAATTTCTTTTGTTTTTCTGGGAACCACAGCAATGGTAATTATAGAAGCAAATGCAACCCAGAAATGCATTGAAGTACTATACCCATCAGGATGCACACCTGAGGACTGTCGTCAAAAGTGTTTCCAGAAGCATAATGACATGAGAGGCCAATGCATTTCCAATGTATCCAAGACGGTCTTTGCTTGTTCTTGTATTTGGAATTGTGCACGCTAGCTAATATTTAATTTTGTCCTAATAATAGATTGTTTGAGTCTTGATTCACACAGTTAATTTGTTGAGAGAGATTTCACACATTCAATTTAATTGTAAGTGCGGATGAATGGAATTTATATGGCGATTGTTGTGGCGATTTTTATATATGCGTGTGGTTTCAGTTCATGAGAAATTTTACAATGCTATATAGTATTGGTGCTATAGATTTTTGCCTTTGTGGTACAACTTAAAATTGTACATTTACGTTATGGTACAATGATTGTACCTATACTTTTTGTACAAATTTTTTTATGGTACAAATTGGATTTGTACCTTTATGTGATGGTACAACTTCAAGTTGTAAAATTGTACCATAACATAATGATACAAATTGCTTTATGGTACAACCTAAACTTATACATTTAATGTTATGGTATAACTTTGAGTTGTACATTAAAACATCAATTCTATATAGCATAGTAAAACTGCTCTCAGTTCATTTGCAAACAAGAAAATTATCTATTGGCAAAGAGAAAACACGTTCATTTCATCAAAAGAAATTAATGGAGGTATCAAATCGATTTCCAATTAAATTAATTTCGGGATTCTACTATAAACTCAGCAAGTGAGTAGAGCTTAACTTGTCTTTGTGGAATTGCAGAAAAATTTTGCATACACATTTTATTATACTCCTATGAACGAATAATAAAGAAACAAAGAACAAAAATACAAAACTATAAGGTGTTCTTATTCGCTCAACATGATCTTATGAATTGCATAACATAGGGGTTTATATAAATGAGTAATTCTTGTCCTACTAGGAATCCACTAGAAATAGATAATTAAGGAAATAACCAAATAATTAGTAATTGTAGTAATATTGCATGTTTATTATACACACAACACTTGGTTATCAAATAAATGCACTGTTCTTATATGGCCAATTGTCCTCTTTTAGATTATACCTGTCTTATTGTCAACCTCGTGACTGGCTTCTCTATAGGCATTTCAATATTGATTTCATAGATGACATTTTCAAGTTAAAGGTGAAATTCTAACTGCAAGGGAAATCTTTGCATGCAGACGTAGGCAGACTTGTCAAAATGCATAAATAAATGCTAAAATCTTACGATTCTACGATATTACTTACTAGTTTTGATTATGATTTAACTATAAAATCTATGAAAAAATGGGACATATTTTACTACAATGGAAAAAATGGGACATATTTTACTACAATTTAAATCATAACTATGAAATTCTAACTGCAAGGTCAAATATGCTTTAAAATCTTAAGATTTTCAACGATTTTTAAGGTCCATGTTGATTTATTTTATGCACTTTCATTCTAACAAATTGTCTATATAGAATAAAGATGTGATGTGTTGTAAGACACCGTAAAATTTAGTTAGTAGAATGAATGTTACTCAAATTGTATTCGCTCGACGTTATCGATCCAATTACGCAAAACCAAAAGCTGCAACATAAGCTATGCAAAAATTACTAAACTTGACGCGAATAAGAAAACTAAATAACAGTAAAGAAAAGCTTAAATAAATTGAATCAAACTTAAGCAGACCATTCAGATTATGCTTCCCCCTAAGTTTGATGGATTTATGTGTCATTTCAATTGCTCAATTATGCAATGCAACATTACCCTACCACATGTCTAAACGTGGTTATCTAACAGGCTATATATTTCTCTCTTAAGGAGTCGAGGTAGCCCATCGATTTGTGTTCGATTCCAATGTGATAATTGGTTCCAGCCTGACCCAATCACAAAACATATTTGAAGCTATCAACATGTGAGAAGATATCTAAGATAGGATAAACAATCGCATTAATATGAAAACGTCAATCAATCTCATAATCAATTCCGTCCATCATCCATAGGGTTCTAGGTAATCTGAATAGTCTAGAAGTTTAGCTATTGATGCATACTAAGAAATAGAAAATACAATAGGGAAAGACATCACCATGCTAATACTCTTCTTGGTTCTTGATCTCCAGCTTTGTCTTGATGCTTGGATCTGACTCAAACTACTGGGAACTCCTCATTTTCTCTTCTCTAACTCGTATTTAGGTTTTATGGGTAAAAAGTGGCTAATCCCCTTAAGAAAACCCTAAGTTTTCTTAACTAGTACAAAAATCCATACTCGAACAACGCAATGGGCACGACCGTGTTCCAGGCTGTGTTCAGCTCGGAAATAATTTTCGTTCTTCTGTTCTTTTGGTTTCTGAGGGGTGACGAGTTTTCGAGCACACCCCATAACACGATCGTGTCCTAAGCCGTGTACTGATCGTCATATACATTCAAATCACATCCAAATGCTCTTGAAATCATCCCAAACTCCATAACTTCCATCTTTATTGCATATTTTGTCCAAATATCATCAAATTCACTCAATGTGACCTGAAACGCACTAAAACATCAAACCAGGTATAAATATGGCAAAAACATATAAATCGTGCTGAAATGAGAGGTCAAAAAACGTCAATTGGGGAGTAAAAATATGTAAAATTTACGTGTTATCTACATGTATATATGAGACTAACTTATGATTAGTTTGAAAAAGGTTGACTTTGAGCCTAAGAGTTAGAGTGGTTCATTCTTGATATTAGACTGGTTTAAGGTGGATTTTATGCATAGTATGAGTAAATGAACTTGCTTTAGTACCATTTACTTTGGGGGAACTTGCTTTAGATATAATTTTCATGGAAATTGCTCCACTTGTGGTTGTTGGTCTCTTGCGAGGCACACGTAAAGGGATTACGAGTTGTAGCCCGTTGTAGGTGTTAGATTCCTGGACCTATAGAAAATGTAGATATAGATACACTTGATGACACTCTACTTATAGTGTTTATCACCCCCATATTTTATACATTTTCCCCTTATATCAATGCATCTCTAGTCTTTTCCTTTCTTTTGAATTTCGTATCTAAATCATAACTATTTGATCACTGAGCCTTTAATAGACCTAGGATATACTTTTGTACTCTATGATGCCTTTGTTTTTTTATGGTTTTCAAGGTACAAAGCATCCTAAAGAACTCTGGATCAAGCATTAGAAAACTCTGGAGGACCAAAGCAACTATAAAGAAAAGTATTGGAGTTTCGTGATAAAAGACTAGGTCCAATGACAGAGTAGCCTACTAAGTAACCACAAGTAGAGGCCAAGAGAATCCAAATGAAGGAAGACTCAGCCCAAGCTTAAGCAAGAACCACCAGCAGCCTTGCATCGGTGATAACACCTAAAATAGGTGTTATTTATGCTTTTCCATATCATCGGTGATAACATGTATTATTGCATAGGTATTCTTGATATGAAGGTTTTCATAGCGAAACCAATCCCACTTTGTCATATTTTATGCTTTTACAGTGTTTATGATGAAATTCCAGGTCTTATATGCATTTGGGATTGATCGGGAATCAATTGGAGTTCATCCAAACGCGATTGGAAAGCATAGGAGCAAAAATGAGAGAAAAGGCACAGGCCACGGTCACAAGTCACGACCGTGACCATGTTCGCAGCCTGAAGATCACGGTCGTGAATAGTGGCCGCGAGCCTTAGCATGCAACCAAGAAGAAGGAATAAAGTTTCTACACCCAAATCACGGACATGGTGCTTCTTGACCCCCGAAAAAGATCACGCCTGTGACACAATGATCACGGTCGCGATCTTATTAAGGAGACGTGATCTCGGAGCTTAAAGACGGTGTCACAATGCGATATTTCGGGCGATTCGCCGACATTCCAGCTAGTCACGGCCAGGTCGCGGCCGTGACCACTGCCATCAGCCTATAAATATCCATTTTCTGCACTTGGCAATGGGAGAGCCGACCTAGATTGAGAAAGTTATGGTTCTGGATTGTTTTAGAGAGGGAAACACCTTTGGAGAGCTTCATTGAAGATCCAATCAGCCCAAGGACCAAGAAGAAGGTGCAAGCAAGGAGAAGAAGTATGATTCCATCACTCCCTCTCTTCCAGTTTGTATTTTTCTTTCTCTCTCTATGACTTGAATCTCTAATGGTTGTTTAGAGTAGATGAACCCTAGATTGTAGTTGGTATTTGAATGGGTTTATTTATGGGTACGTTGTTCTAGTGAATTTACACCTCATGTGTGTTTAGTTATGCTTGGGTAAGTCTCCCTAATCTTCTCTACTAGCCTACTTGAGCTTCTACGTTGGGTATGGAGTTTTAGGGTTAGACGGGTATGCGCCATCGGTTTTACTAAGAATAGTGAGTTACCTAAGGGCTTTGAGGTGGACGAGGCGACCGAACCCCAACCTCTATAGTGCCTTCCTAGAATAATGCTTTAGGAGGTTCACAAGCGCATAGATCTGACTCCCCAGTAGTGTGTGATAGGTTGAACCTATTTAAAGGAACTATGAGAGCATTCCTAGCAAGGAATCTTAGATAGAGGTGACATTGGGTCTTTGTGGGTAACGCTGGGTGGGAGAATTCACGTGGGAGAAATCCCCATATCAGAGAGTTCTGCATCATATCCTTTAAACTCAACTTGCCGACTATAGCTAGGGGAATTCAATTCTAGGCAACCATCTTATTTCTAGCGGTCTCCCAACCACTTGGTTGGTTGTTTAGGATTAGATTAGGTTAGATTCTTTACCAACATTTTGATTTGATTAGATAGTAGTTTGGAGCGAAGTAATAGTAAGTTTAGGGCTCCCTTGGAATACGACCAAGTCACTTTACTACAACTCTAGCTAGGTTATACTTTGCTTAGTTAGGATTGAATAGAGAGAGTTCATCGACTTATAAATTTAAAGCTCAATCACGCAAGCGATCAAGTTTTTGGCATTGTTGTCGGGGAGCTTATGTTATTAGGAAAAGTCGAGAACTACTAGTTAAATCATTTTTTTTTGTTTTATCGTGTTTTCTGTAGCATCAAGTTTTTGGTGTTGCTTTGTTTTTGTTTTTGTGCTGACATTGCTTTTCACCCACCTTTCTTCTTGAGGGGTGGTTTGTGTTTGTTTGATTGTTTTTTTTTTTTTGTTTGTAGTTTGTGAATAATTGATCCATATGGTTGGCTCGAGGAGCGGGGAGATCACCAAAGGCCGAATTGGTCGTATCTCGAAACTTCTAGCTAGTAGCGGGGCATGCCAAGGATCCCGATTTCAAGAACAACCACCTCTCCATGCCTATCAACGGTAACCCCATGATTACCAAGCATATCGACCATCATACCAAGAACCACCTCCACAACCTATGGTGAAGACCGAGTTGGAGTTGGAGATGGCCATTGAGCGACTCAAGGCGAGTACGCCATATCTAGATAGCCTTGAGACAACTCACTCCACTCTAACCCCGGAATCAAAGAGCCACTTGGAGCTCCAATTACAAAAATTATTGGTCGGGTGTGGCAGTGCACTTCATCATTCACCACCACCTACACCAAAAAGTCTTAGAGAGTTATCATATGAGCGCTACAACATATACCTAGATGCTAGCGATCCCAACCCTCCTCCAGGTTGCTTTTGGATTAAAGATGTTAAACGAGAGGAATGGTGGCTCCAAAAGGTGGGGAGCGTAGGGACATCTTGCATCAAGGAAAGTCCTGACCCTTCTACTCAAGACTTCCTCAAAGAACAAGAAGAGATGCTCAAGATGATAGAGAAAAAGGAAGAGTTATTGAGCAACTTAGCTCGAGACTCAATCAAGAAATCATCTTCAACATCAAGAATGAAGCAAAAGACGAAGGTGTCTCGAGGTCGAGGGTGGACAAGCAAGGGAACCTTGACGAACCATCTATTAAAGAACTTACTTGTGAAATCATCATTGCTCCTAATCATCAAGGAGAGAGAACTAAAGAAGGGAGCATTGATGAGGTTGTGAGTAAGAAAGAAGAAAGTGAAGAAGATGAAGAGGTTGGTACTCAACATGGGGAAGATTCTTCACAAAAGGGAGAGGAGGTTGATGATGCAATCGGAGTCTGACCAATGGACAAGGTTGAGGTGGATGAAACTTCGACAAGTTACATATGCTAAAAAAAAGCTTTTCGTCCAACCTTGATTCACTCTTAGAAAATGACCCTTTTGAGGGTTCTCTTTGCCAAGATGAGGCCGAGGCATCATCAATCCCTTTGTGCAAATCGTTAGAAAATATATTTCCCCTCTACTTTACCCCAACACCACAAATCCAAGTAAAAGTTTTATGAAACAATGTACCATTCTAAATAATGAGGACCTAAGGAAATTTCATTATGTTGTTTTTTAATTAAATATGGCACTATAAATAAAATGTTTTATCATCCCCATAAATTTGAAGGTATTTCAACTTGGTCATTAGCCTTCAAAAATAATTACATGTATCCAGTTTATATATTTGATGAATATTTTGAAATAAGTGGGTAAAAACATAAATCGTTACCATTTCAAAATAATTATAATCTTTATATGGAGGCTTCTATGATTTTTCTGGTACATTCTAAAATTCCATTTTAGTTTATCAAACTTCCAATTATAAGTATGAACATCATCATGACTCTCTTATCTCCAACTATATATATAAGTTTAGAGTCCCCCATCATTTTTCATTGCAAATTACATAAAGGAAAAACACGAAACAAAAGGTTAAATCTAGATTCAAGAATATGGCAAAATTTCATCTCCTCCAAGCTTTGGTCTTCGCATTGATTCTGTCAGGTTGGCCGAGGGTTTATTTAAAATCACTTTCTTATTGATTTTTGGTTCATGTTGTTTTCCTTTGTGTTACTCGTTTTATTCATACTTTTTTTTTTTTTTTACTTACAGCATTCCTACTTCCAGAAGTCAATGGACAAATAAAGAGATGCAGGGAAACACTATACCCATCAGGATGCACATTAGCTGATTGCGGTCAAAAGTGTTATGAGAGACACCAGCAAATTAGTGGGCAATGTATTGGAAACGAATCCATGACTAATTATGCTTGTGTTTGCGTTTGGAGTTGTTGATCCATATTGCCTTATATACACAAATCTTGTGTGAACTATCGAGTCAATTCTTTGCAGTGTCACACAGCTTATAGTTATTATGGAATGATAAACTCCATATATTTATTGGTTTTCGTGCATGTGGTTTACAGTTTACTTAATTCGGTATTCTTGGGATACCGAAATTATTTAGGGATTAGGATTGATTTTAGGGTGTAATTCAGTATTCGAGATTTCGATATTTGGTATTGAAATACCGATACCGTACCGATTTCCACCCTACCTGCAAAAACTTGCAATGAAGTAACAAGATTCGACTAATTATGTTATAGAAAGAAGAGACCATCTCCTGAAGAGAGGCAAGGGAAGAAGGGCGAGCCTAATACTAGGAAGGTTAACATGTTCTACCAGGAGTTTGTAGAGATGGTATACCCCAAAGATGCAATGAGAGTAGAGGTGGCAATTTCAATCCAATCCATCAATCCATTAAAAATATCCACCTAATCCAATCCATTTAAATCCAATCCATTTGATCCAAATCCAATTGGATTGGTGGATTCATGGATTGGATCCATGGATCATTGGCAAATTACGGTTTAGTACCTATAATTTTTATTTTTTACATTTTGGTACCTAAAATTTAATTTTTTATACAAAAAATATCATTGGAAAATTACGTTTTGGTACCTAAAATTTTTCATTGTGACATTTTAGTACCTAAACTTTTTACATTTTACATATTGGTCCTTGGTTGAGTATGTCATTTGGATTCATGGATAATCCACCAATCCACTTGATCCAATCCATGAATCCACCAATCCATTTGATCCAATCCATTTGATCCATGGATCCACCAATCCAATCCACCAATCCAATCCATTTGCCACCTCTAAATGAGAGTCATAACAAACGAGATTATAGGTTCTGACGACGTCCACCCAACTAATCAAGCTCCATAGGTTGACTTCCCTTCACATGTGATTTCCCTCCCGAACATGAAGTTGATCCGAAATGGTTATTTACAATTTTACATAGTGCAGTTTTGTCCGAGATCACGGGTAGGCTTCCGATGTCACGATCGTGACTTTTGACCGTGACATTTTTCCGACGGTCTATATTAGAGGAGGAGTTGAAAGAGAGAATGGGGGATCTAGTGAGAGATGGGGTCTTCTTCTTTTTGTTAAGAGAGAGAGAAAGTGACTAACAAAGTAACAAGAAGGAGATTTGGCATTGCCCTAACCTAGAGGATTGAAGGTTTTCTTCTCTCAATGGTGATTCAAGAAACTATGAAGGAGGATAATCATCACCACCATGGTTCTTTCTTTCATCTTTGTTGTTTTCCCTTGCCTAGCTATGGAGTAGTCTCCCTACTCGCTTCGGTATTGTAAACCCTAGTCTAGAAATGTGTTAGGATGTAAGAACTTGACTCTATGTGTGTTGAATTTTTATTTTATATAATATTTGATATATTAATCATGAATATTGAGTGATGTTTTCCATATATCTCATTGTTGGGTCAATTTGACCTAGAATGAGGAAATTCCCCTTTGGTTCATAATGAGCTAGACCTCCTAGACACTTGGATAACCCCTTCTTGGTTAATCTATGACAAACCTCAAATATCGGATTAGTGCCATGATTCCATCTTGATCAGTCGCTTTCTGCCGTCTAGATTAAATTCCAAGGGATTGGTTCTTGCGATCCTAGTTGATCGGTTAAGAGAGCTAGGTTTTCTAACTTATTGTTGCAATCCTTAGCCGAACGGTTAAGAGAGCTAGGTTTCCTAGGTTATAGTTTCAATCGTTAATTGATCGACTAAGAGAGTTAGGGTTTCCTAACTAGTTGCACCTGCATCATAGTATATGAACTCATCTTTCACACTAGAGTTTCGTTCATTGCTTCTTAACACGAGACTACGAGAGTTAGGATTTCCTAGCTAGATTGCTTTTATACAATTGATACTCTTTTGGGTAGCATTTTGTGCATTTTCAGGGTCGAGCAGCCTAGTGGGTCACTCGGAAATCATAGGGGACATCGAGCCCAAGTTGCTGGAGCAAGATTACGAAGACCGGATATCAATGAACAAAGGCGCCCACGACGCTGTTTTTACTAAAGGAAAGGCGGCCATGGTGCCATTTTGATGAAGCCAACTGCTTCATCAAGAAGTTGCATGATTCGTTGCCACGTGTTTGGAGGCTTCTGATTGGCCGAATGACGCAGTAGGGGCGGTTTTCTTTCCTTGTAAAGCCTAATGAAAAATCTGTAAATAGGCTCTAGAGATAGAGTAAAAGAGAGGGAGACGAGAGGTCAAGGAAAGTTCATTACTCTGCCAACAGAGCAACCCTTCTGACTTACAATGATGCCACCTTCGAGGGAGAATCCTTGGTGAAAAATGTGTCATCGAGACCCTTTTGTCTGTTACGATCGTCGATTTATGTGGTCTCTTCGAGTATTCATTTTTATCAATGGACGCCCAGGACACCCTTCCCATGGTTGGCTAACTTTCTTAGTTGCGTAGGTATGTGAACCCTAGGAATCCACCTTATATGCACGGTTTTTCATCATGAACGAGAGGTGAAGGGCGGGTTGTCATCATGAACCAGCACGGAGGAATTCACCTTATATGCAATGCACGGGTGGCCACGAACCTAAAAAAAATGGAAAGAAAGTTTCCCTCTGAAAAGGGTATCGTACCGTTCGTGCTACCCCACCGGAACTGACAGAAAAGAAGAGGGAAAAAATGTGAATTTAAAAGGGGTAAGGGCGGAGTGAAAATGAAATTTTCATTTTTATTCAATCAAAAAACAATATTCGCACCTTACCCAAACTAATCTACAAACTCTCAAATTCATATATACTTCGGCCCAGTTCAGAGTTGACTTTCATGTTTGCCTGGCATAGGGCTAGTGATGACCGGTGGTAGTGCTGCTGGAATTAAAGCAGCCCACTTTCTCAAGTGCTCCACCAAACCCAAGCCGAAAGGAAATTGAGAGAAAATCATAAAACGGTAAAAGCGAAATGGGGAAAAAAGATTACTCTGTAGAGCGGTGCACTTTTTCAATTTTCAGCTTAGAAAGAGCTCTCACGGAAAAAGCGCGGGCGTTTTGCCCTTTCGTGTTCCCTTACATCTTCCAAATACCCATCCGCGCACGGAAAGCTTCGATCTTCAATCCCCAGCGCAGTCCATTTCCCCTGATAATCTTACGATTTTGATTTTCCGTCATCCTTCTTCGCCGGCGACGCAGAAAACAAGTACCGTAAAGAGTTCTTTCACCTAGGGTTTTCATTTCAGAGAATGAAATTCGGGGAAGCATTCCGAGAATACCTGCACGGAGACCAGGAGAAATTCCTGGACAAGTGCTCCCACGTCGAGTACAAGCGCCTGAAGAAGGTGCTAAAGCGATGCCGCCGCTCTTCGCTTGGCTCGCAGGAGGTTTGCCGAGACAGCCTAGAAGAACAAGAGGAGGATCGTGATCAAGAGAACCGGCCCGATTTCAATCAATTCTGCCAATGCCAGTCTTGCCCTGGTCAGATTTCTCGGTTCCCTTATCTTGGCAATTCAGGGTTCTTCGTGATTGTAAAGAAAATTGAGACGCTGATTTTGGGGATTTTTTTTTTTTTTTGTTTGTTTGAATGTGTAGTGTGCGATCAAATGTTCTTTTCCGAATTGATGAAAGAAGTATCGGATATAGCTGGATGCTTCAACACTAAAGCTAGGCGGCTCCTCCACCTTCACGTGGCCAAGGGGATGCAAGGGTATGTACTGTGGTTTCGTCAGTGCTTTCGAGACGATAAGTTAGCTATGGCGGAGGAAGGAAGGATGCTGATGGAATATGTTACCATGAATGCTATCGCCATACGCAAAATCTTGAAGAAATATGACAAGGCAACGAAAGAATCCCCCATCCCTTGTTTCCTTCTTTCATTTGATTTGATTTCTTAACTCTTTTCGTTGGGAATAATGTTCTTGAGGATAGATGATTCTGATGCTCCTTTTAGGTGCATAGCTCTGTGAATGGGAATGTTTTCAAATCTAAGATGCGAGCCGAACACATTGAGCTTCTGCAATCGCCTTGGTTGATTGAGCTGGGAGCGTTGTTTCTGAACATCAATGGGGTAGATGGAGGACGGTTCAGTGAGTTCTGTGGGAATTTTTCGTGTGATCTCGATGCTTCAGAACCTGTTATGAGGCTTACCTTGCCAAATTCTGTCACCATAGACTACAGTTTGACATGTGCCATTTGCTTGGTGAGAAATCATTTTACTCTGTACTATGCACCACGCTAACCAGAGGTTAACACTTGTTTGATACTATCGGATTTCGTTTTTGCTTTGCAGGACACTGTTTTTAACCCATATGCTTTGAGCTGCGGCCACCTTTTCTGCAAGTCATGTGCTTGCTCAGCTGCTTTTGTACCGATATTCCTTGGGCTAAAAGAAGCTACTCCAGATTCAAAGTGCTCAATCTGCAGAGAGGTACGTTTAGGAATGCAGGCAGTTTAGTGAACTGTAAATGTTATGTGAGCCATCCATGACATCAAGCATTGTTCTACATGGTTATAATGAGACAAAAATTTCAAGATATGATCAACTCATTTATTGCTTTGGATTATCAAATAGAGATAGCTATGGCATTGAATTGTGCTCATAGTGCCCGATAGACTTGCTTCTGGAAAGTATAGCTGGTAGCAGAAGGATCTTTCTGTGTGGTGATAGCAATGGGGATATGCTTTTGCCTTTTGGTATGTCTCATTCTGGGACCTTTGTTATTTCTCATACAGTCATCCCTCTCTAGCATAATTCATTACCTGAATGGTTAGCTTTAACCCATATTGGAGTGCGCCGGTCTTGGATTTATTCTGATTTGCCACTTACTATCACTTGTCAGTGCATATAGTAACCTGTCTTTATTTAGTTACACATAGTTTGATCACTTCTTCCTTTATGGAACTTGTGTTACAAGTCATCTTTGTGTACTAACTCAAAAATCACACCATTACCATACATCAACACGTCTTCTAAATTAGTCGTATACACCTATATCGAACCATTTGATGATAGCTGTCACTGGCGTGTCTGCTTAGTGTTTAGCATAGGTGTTCTTTTTCCTAGAGCATTAATGCACATGTCCGACTAAACCCAAGTAAATCCTTTGTTGGGGCTAGTAGCAGCAAAGCAGAGCAACCTCATGGTTGCTTTTGTTTTTAGGTTTTGGTTTTAGAAATAACCACAAACCTTCCCCCCGCTATTTCTTGCTTCGTTAACCAGTTTGATGTGGCATTCTGTTCCAGTAGTGAGACTTTCCTGATACATAAGTGAACCTCAATCTTGAGTGAAACTTCTCTGGTCTAAAAAAAACATTTTACCTGTTATTTAGAGCATATGTTTGAGAAACCAGACTACTTTGCTGTCTCTGATTGACCAAAGCAACCTTCCCTTAATGCAGGCTGGCGTATATCAGAATGCGGTGCACATGATGGAACTGGACTTACTGCTGAAACAAAGGTAAGAGATGGAGGAGCAACCTTTATCTACTCTCCAATGGTTGACCAAGCTAGCTAAATTTCAATTCTCTTTCGTTTTATCCGAACATCTTTTCTCAGGTGCAAAGAGAACTGGAAAGAAAGGATGGTAGCAGAACGTGCGCTGATAGTCAAGCAAACGAAAGAGTACTGGGATATGCAAACCAAATACGCAATCGGTTACTGAATCTGGGATAGCTGATAGCCAGATAATTACAAGTGATTCTTCATTCTAGTGAATCTAGATTACTTTTAGGGTGGAGTTGATGTAGACACGATGACAGCCAGATCTCCTTCCTATAATGTCAGCAGGTGCAGTTGAACTTATTATTGCTGCCCATAATGTGGAGTGATTGCCAGTGATTAAGGGGTCATATATGATTGTGATGAAGGTGTTTTGCTCAATGTTCAGAAGCCATTTGAGAATTTGGTGTTGATTTTTATGCAACAAGAGATTGGTTTTTGAATGGATTAGTTTAACCCAATTCGTTCAGGAGGGATGTAGATGGGTAATCTTTGCAAATAGAAGCGCAGAGGAGGGAAGAACACAAGTTCAGCAAACAACCAAATTGTTATAGAATTGCAATCCAAAGCAAAGCATGAATTACAATCGTTCACTGCTAAAATGAAATCCCTAAAACCCTAATTACATGGTGGGAGCGGAAAGGAAACAAACACAAAAGATAGGAAACCCTAGACTACAGAGATTAAACTCCGCCGCCACCGCCAAAATAAGAACCTTTCTTTCTTGACAGCAAGACTTCTCCGACCGGCCGTCCATTCCCCCAATCATCTACCTTTCCTCCTAACCTCCGAAACCGTAAAGAGTCCTTCCCTGCCTCTTCAGAGCATACACGACGTCCATCGCGGTGACCGTCTTGCGGCGGGCGTGCTCCGTGTAGGTGACGGCGTCGCGGATGACGTTCTCCAAGAAGATCTTGAGAACTCCGCGGGTCTCCTCGTAGATCAGCCCGCTGATACGCTTCACGCCACCTCTGCGAGCAAGACGGCGAATCGCCGGCTTCGTGATACCCTGGATGTTATCGCGGAGGACCTTGCGATGGCGCTTGGCTCCACCCTTTCCGAGCCCCTTGCCTCCCTTGCCGCGCCCAGACATTCTTCCTTCGGAGATCGACGGAGAACAGGAAAACCCTAGATCTGAGGGAAAGCTGAGAGCGAATTGATTTGAGGAAAGTGTGAAGATGGAAGGTTTGAGAGTGAGTGGGGAAGAATTTGTGGGTCAGGTTATTTATAAGAGAGGGAAATGGGTTTTGCTGAGAGCATCGATCCGCGTAGCGGTGTGGGGAACGCAGTTTTGGCCGTTGATGGTGTTTGGTCGACGGTCCAGATGAGAGTTTGTTTAGACGCGGATTGATGACGTGGATAGATCCGGATGGATGAGTTTTTCCCAGTTTTCGCTTGCTTTTGAAATTTTTTTATTTGGGGAAATTAAAAATTTGCGGGCGGGGTTTGTTTTGGTTTTCCCCCCACATCCCTGAGTTGGGCGCGAAAGTTGAAAAGAGAAAGTACAGAGAAGTACGACAGCGTTTGGTCTGAAGTCTGAACCCAAGATTTTTTTTTTTTTTTTTGACAAAGAGGTTACTTATATTTCACTCCGAAAGAAACTCGGTTACAAAACAAAGAGAAACACCCTGAAAATCAACTACAAAAAAGAAAGCCCAAACAACCAGATACACCGAAAATGAAGAAAAAAAGCCCAAAAGCAAACAGAACGCTAAACAACATGAACAGAAAGACAGAGGACCCTTTTCAAGAGCTGAAAACAGAGGCTCAAGCAGTCAATGTAATCGCATCAAACAGAGTGAGATACAGTAGAGCTTCAGCTCGCCCAAACCCAGCCTTGACCATGGTTATTGAGCAAAGCAACACCATATGCCGCCTTCTGGGGGTAGTTCAAAGACACCCATCACAGTGAATCGCCTATGAGGGATTGCGCGGCGGTGGACAGGGATGAGATTCAGACTGCTCAGAGCTGAAAAACGGCAACCGGGACTGGAGCAGAGAGAACCATGAACACAGCAGAGAAGAGATTCACCTGAGGGTTGACAACAGCCACAAACAAAGAAAAGGAGAGAAGAGCAGAACCGACCAGAACAAATGACCTGCAAAAACAAACGCCAAAAGAGACAACCCAAACAATCCCAAAACCAGAACCCAAATCAGCAGCCCCAACAACAACCCCAACACCCTACAAGCAAAGAAACAAAATCAACCCAAGTAGAATCTCAAAACTATTGCAACAATGGTGCAATCGTCTCAGCAACCAGAGGAGACTCCTACTCCACAACAGCCAATCGACGCACCGAGGAACGACAACAGATGGGGAATCGGTGAATGCAATCACCCTAGAAGATGATCGCACCAAGATTGGATAGAAACCCAAGATGCATCCTCCGAACCCAGAATAGAGCAGAGCCAAACCAGATCTAGAAGATCTGGAGCAGAAACATGGCAAAACCTCCTCTATTGAGAGGGAAGAGGAAAAACCCACTTAGGGGAAGGGGAAACGCCATAACGGCAGGAAAAAGCCAGGGAAGGCCAGGAAAGACAACGGAAAACCGAAGAGGAAGGCGATGAAAAGCAGGAAAGCAACAGAAAAACGAGAATAGAAATATTTTTTTGGGCTACCGCCGATCACCAAGAGGTGCCGGCGGCAGCTCTAACGGGAGGAAGTTGAAAAGGAAGTTGAACCCAAGATAACTGGGTCGTCTTTCTGTATCACCAAAGGCCTTCTTTCTGGTCCGCCCGATTTTGCTTTTGCAAACATATATTGGATTGTTTGGATGAATCCATTGTAAAAATACGATAATTTGATTAATTATTAAAAAATTAGTCAATTTGAATTGTCCATCCCACTCTAGGTAAGTGTAAATTTGTAATTGTTTTAAATTCAGTCAATTTAAATTTTTCATGCACAATTGCTTCATCTGAAATTTGTGTTGACAAACAAACAACTCAATTTTGCCGGATTGTTTCAAAATGAAATAATTTGCACAAATTGATCAGTTAAAATTTCTCATCCAAACGACTCTATAGTGACTTTCTAAGAGGTGAGACATTGTTGGACTGCTACACATTGATTATGTTTAACTTTGGGTTCTTACAATAACTCTTTCATTGTGTCTCAATAGTCGTCTTGTCAGTTAAGATTTAATTATTCCTTGTTAATTATGGATATCGCATACAATTTGTTGATAAGGTATTTTCCTAAGGTCCACACAACTCTTTATGAATCAACATTCTCGTGAAATTTGCTCCACCATTGTTTAAGAAAGAGGCGGAGACTGGAGAGGCTCTGATACCATTATATAATACCCTAGTCTAGCCTAGCCTAGCCTAGCCTAGCAAGAGATTAGATTTACTAAACATTAACATTAAATATTTTGAAAGGAAGAGGAAACGTTACATATTTAACAACATTAAAAACATGAACACTCTCTAAACAAACACTTATTGTACTAAACAATTATGCTTGTGTTTTAGCAACCTTAAGAACCAAGTGCTAGCAAACCAAACCCATTCTTCATGATATGATGATGCGATATAGATCGAAGTTATAATCCTATTATGTCATAGGGTCATATTCTACAAGGTCTTCTAATGCATAATTATTCACACTATACCATCATTGGCTCACACAAAAACAATAAAATCATTTAGGGGTTTTCATTCAACTAACAAGCAAGAATAATAAAGTTGTTAATGTGTTTTTCAATTTATATCTGCATAAAAGTAAATATACGTTATTGTATAAGAGAGCAAGCTCAGGTACTAACATGCATATTGGGGCTCAATCACAACATGCATCAATGATTCATCTATAACATCACTCCATCCTTCCACTAAAGTCATTCTTTACCTGTGCATGTGCCTCTTCCGATAGAAACTTAACTAGCTAATGCGTGCTTTTGCTCCATGATATCACCTAGTTAATGAAGAATAAGGAAGTTAGGATAGAACATGATTAATTGTGGGCTTATATGAACCATAACCAATGATATGACAATTAAACATTGATACTACTCGAAGCATAGATGGTTGATCATACCTTCTATACTCGCGTGGCATCAAGTAGGTCACTATAGGGCAATTTCTTATCAATATAGGTAATACTAAGCACAATGCATATAGTAGCATACAATATAATCATAAAACATCGATGATAAAGAAGCATTCATACTATGTAAACCACAATGGCCATCACATAAGCATCGAAACATAAGCATCCATGCATAGATAATAGGAATCAAAACATAGGCTTCTGAGGTTGAGCATCAATGAGGAGTCCAAGTTGTCTTTCAATATTCTTGTTGCTTGTTTGCAGCCCTATCACTGTCGCCACTAAGTTCTCGAACATGGTAGGTTGCAGATTGGAGACACCTTCTAATTGCCCTTTGTATTGAGGTTGATTGCCAAATCCAGGTGGACCTGACTTCTTTTGTCATTGTGCTTCATGAACATATGGTGCATTGGTAGAGTGATGTTGTGGTAGTCCTCGGGCTTCTTTCCTCCCGGAGCAAGCCATTAACCATACAACATGCGAGGTTGATGGAATCTTTTATAAAGAGGATATCTTCATTGTTGAGGTCTCAATTGATAGCCTTGATTTATGTAATTGGCATCAAAATGTCCTTTCCCTTGTTGGATATATAAGTCGAATCCGTCATGGCCTTCTTCTCCACATGCTTCACAAATGAACAAGGATTCAACTGGTCCATTCTCTGGCTCCATTGAAGTCATTATTAGTTGTGGGTCAGTTTCTTCATGTATACATAGAGGGTAGCAACATCCTCCTCCCTTTCTTAGGCAACTTTCAATGGTTAAATCATTGATGGACGCTTGGATTAGTTCTTCGACTTTCTTACTAGTGCTGCAAAATGCTCCAGGCATTACACTCTCTTCATTGTTGTGAAATCTCCACCGGCCGGCTGGGTTACCATCATCGTTGTGTCTTGATCGAGGCCTTTGGAAACATACTTTGCAATTTGCTAATGTGTGAATCCATGATGAGGGCATGCATTGATATACCCTTGAAATATCCTCTAAGATTCATAGAAAGTCTCTCCTTCCTTCCGTTGAAATTGAGTAATTTCGTCTTTAAGCTCCTCCGCCTTTCATGGTGGAAAGTACCCCTCGATGAATGCTTGTGCAAGGGTCTCCCATTTGGTGAAGGTCTTTGGTGGATGGTAGTCGAGCCACTGCTTTGCTCCTCCTCCAAGAGGGAATGGTTAGTATTCGAATTACATCTTTGGTAGCATCATCTTCTGGTATGGAATCGATTATCTCTAATAATGGCTTCAAGTGTTTCACCGAATCACCATTATTCATTCCTCCAAATCTCCCAACTTGTTGCACCATCTAGATAAGTTGAGTTTTGATTATCTCCAACCATCGTTGTTCTTGAAGAAGTTGAAGATGCTCCTTCTTCCTCCGAATAGAAGTTTTCT